CAACAACAACAACAACAACAACAACAACAACAACAGCAACAACAACAAAAATGAAAATCATCACATTAACCATAATAAAAAAAATAACAATAATAATTACACCAATAACAATAAAAACAGCATCAGCATCAACAAGAACAACAATGACAACAACAAAACAATAACTGAGCTTAAAAAAAGCACGATATCAACCGCTATATACCCAAACAATTAACAAACAACTATGTATGGGCGCTTAATTTTATCTATACAGTTTCTCTATAATCACCATAAAAAGCTTTGCCCTGCTCAAAAATTCTCAATTCTCAAAAAATCTTATAACTCCTCAAGTAAAAAATTCTCATTTTTTGCCTTTTGGTCTCATTTCGAGCAAATAAGATGATTGAGGAGGTTTGTTTCTCGAAAAGGTATACCATAAAGAGTCATCGTAAGTGGAGTGATTCATCATATTGAAGCTTTTCAATACTGTTTTGAATTACAATTTATAAATTTCAAAAAGTGTCCCCGTGTCCCGTTTCGGGAAAAAAACGGGGAAAGTGTCCCGTTTCGGGAAAAAATGGGTTGAAACTTTTGACTGGTAGTCTAATATCGAGCGAATAAAGCAAGCGAGTAAGCTTGTCACAAAAGAATAAGCAATGTGATTTTCGTGTTACTCCAGTAAATTTACTTTTATAGTTCTATAATTTTTAAACAAATTAAAAAACTTCCAAGCTGACCCCATGTATTAACATAGGCTATATAGTATCCGGTCAGCACCCTATGTATTAACATAGGCTATAGTTTTCCCATGTATTTAGGTTACAGGTTTCAAAGTTTCAGATGGTAAGACGGTAAGATGGTAGGATGGTAGGGTTTTAAAAATTCCCGTTTGGAATCTTTATCATTTTTCATCGAAATTTACCATCTTACCATCTGAAACTATGAAACCTATAACCTTACTACATGGGAAATCTATAGCATATGGTAATACATAGGGTAGTGACCGGATAGTCCATAGCCTATATTAATACATGGGTGTCAGCTCGAGGAATGTTTTTTGGAATGTTTTTGGGAGCAGTTCGAGGAGAAACTGCTAATCGGTAAAATTTCATTGCAAAAATAAGTTTTCTCTATGAGCATTTATGTTTTTCTGTTGGATCAACAATGACCAGATGCTTCAAAAAGTAATAAACGCAAACAATCCAATTGATGTTTAAATGAGCAACTTTAGACAACTTGCAGTTGATAAAATTAGATAAAAATATATTATCTACAAAAAATATAAAGATTTCAGATCTGTTGTAACTTTGTCTTGCAAAACTTTGATTATGTTTACTATATAATCCATAATACTGCATTATTTTTGCACAGTTTTTAGAATGCATATTTTTGTTCGATTACCAAAACAATCTAAAAATGTTTTTTTTTTTATAGAAAAAACTTTATTCACACTATATACAGATTGTATACAGATTTTATACATGCTAGATACTGTTGATACACAAATTATATACTGATTTTCCCATCAATCTCGCCAATCAGATAATATGAGTATATTTAAATAAAATGTAGTCTTTTCATGGAAATCTTTATATTGTTGTTTGATTTGGAAAAAAAAATCAATATTACGGAAATAACATGCAGCAAAAATTAATTCGTGTATATTATTTTTTTCCAATTGTTTTTATGATGTTTTTTCACAAAAATGAGCTGAAAAATTGAATTTTTGAATGGGATTTGAAAAAGCTTTGCTTAAAAACTTTTTTTTACCGCGAGATTATGTAGGTTGCAAAATCACAGAAGTATATTTTGAAATTTGTGATTTGCAAAACAATTTTCCTCATGTGAGTTCAGCTCACTATAACACTGAAGAAAACTTTTCCTGATGACAAATTTCTGGTCTATTTGTAAAAGCTAAATCGTTACTTCATACTTTGAATGGTCGAAACTGAAATTGTTACAACTCCTATAGTTTTTGAGCAATATAATCAATTTAATACAGCAGATTTTATACTTTTTTATACAAATTATTTACATATTATAGACAGATTATCTACAAATGTTATTGTTTTAAGATTACATGCTGTTTATAAGCAAACAATCTACGGATTATATACAGGTTATAAAGAATAAAAAAATCGATGATTTTGGCACTAAACTCCAGTTATTTTTGGTAGAATCGTTCTGTTTGAATCGATCTGTTTGAATCGGTAAATGCTCGCAAAATTATTGTAGATAAATCGGTTCAATACTTACATTAATCTGTAGTTTTTTTCTGTATACAATTGCCTTGAATCCATTTTTAACACTGCGGGTTGTGTTTAAATTGACCGGCATTTTTTTTTCGTAATTGGCAATATGTAATCTGAAAAAGCTCAATTAAACTCGACTCAAGATAAATCATGACGGAAATGGTTTCCTTATTTTTATCACCCGGAAACCTAGAACTTTTTGAATAAATATGTTTTCATCTGTGTTTTGATTTGTAACGAAAACCGTGTATTTGTAACCTTGATAATTTTGACGAACGAAAGTATCAAATTCGGTATTTCAACTTTTGTGTTTGAAAATTAATTCCTTCTTTTTGTTCTGAGGTTTCTGGTTTGGGTTTGCAACGCTATTTTTAATACCCCAGGCCCTTAGGTGTGAAAACTCGTTGTACTCTACGGAAGCTGCATGTACAGCCAAAATTTCAACTGTCAAAAAAAACAGACAACCGAAAAAAAAATGTGAAGCAGACCGGCAAAAACTTAGGGGTTTATGTTTGATAGCTTTGGTCGACCTAAATCAACAGAAAAAAAATTTTGAAAGTAGTTTAATGCCTCTGGCTGTTGTTGTATTTATAAGGGTCTCTTATGTCCCAAAAAATTCGGTCAATTCTTCCAAACTTTATTCCAACGGGTGCAAAGCCAATACATTTTCGGTTTATGTAAACAATTGTTCAAATTAACATTGCAGTGATACAAATTGTTGCGCATTTCCAAATCTAAGAGCAGTTGTCCACGCAATTTCGACTTCGTCTGATGATCCCATTTGACCTTCAGAATTGGATTGTTTTCGATAGACTAGAAGGTCGATGAACCCTCCTGAGCATGTACATTCAACAGGCACGCCTCTATCTTTTTCAAACACCAAACTTGGATTTGAACTTCCGCCGTTTTTTCCAATGTGATTGCAGAGATAGTTTGCTAGTTGTGGAATTTCGAGGTCGATTATAGCAATGTGGTTTAAGCAGAATTGCTGTCCATGTTGTTTAGTGAAAACTGTGTCTCGAGTGGGGTCGCTTTCATAAGTCATCGTCACAGCTTTATTCGACAATCGACCAAAGGTTTCACCTAAAATGAACCACATGGAGTTAGTAGTCTGGTTGATAAAATCGTTTTAATTTTGGGGTTTATTTCAATGTTTTTGCCAGCTGACCCAAAGATTCATCCTAAATATGGTTTCTCGGTCGAGCATCAGCACTGTGCAGGTCTTTTAAGGTCGAAACAACTAACTCGCTACCTGTTTTCTGGGGTTTTCTCCAATTTGAAACTGCATTTTGAAGGAACATTTCAGCAACTGTTTATCGGCTTTGATATTTAAAACAACGATGTTGTTTAGCGTGATTTTAATCCGAAAACCCGAAGACAGCGCCTATATCTCTCTAGAAAAAAAATCATGATTGAGCTGAACAAATTTTGGAACGATCTTACCTTTATCAAAATTGCATCGATGCTCGCAACATGTGGCTTGTTTCGAATAAAACTCGCTCGAATTGGCAACCCCGTTCAAAACACATACTTTCTGATCAACTTCAAAGTACTTCACCTCAGGCGGATCTGATACGCTCTGGCTGTTTTTCAGGTCTCTGGCGTATGCGCCTATATCCATCTGGAGACAAGCGGCAGTCTTCAATTGGGACCCCCCTCCGCAAGATTTGGAGCAGAAACTCAAAGCAGCCCCGTATTCCACGTCGGATATTTTCAAACACGGGTTAGCCGAGCAGGGTTCAATCTCGGTCTTCAACTCACACGACTCATCAGTTCGACTTCTGTTTTTGTGCCCGGGTCCACAAAAACTATCGGGAAGACATTCGGTCCAAGAAGTCCAATTCGAGTCGCAGTTTCTACCCAGTGCAATTTTTGGACCCACAGTTGCTGACCTGTTCTCCGAATCTTCATTTGAGTTCGCATTTCTTATTAAATCTTTTGAAGTTGATCTGAACATTTCATTTTTAGACTTGGTTGGAACAAAAACTCTGGATTCGTTTGGATCTGGTTCGTTAACATAGTCTGGCATTTGTTCGTCTTTTTCGCCTTTATTTTGGTTTTCATTGGGAAAGTTGGTTTCAGGTTGGTTGGTGCCAACTTCTACGTCTATTTGATTTTCGATAGAAACTTTTGATTTGTCTTGTTCCGACAAGGCAGAAGCTATTGTCGTTTGAAGAAGAACTGAGCTGGATGTCTCAAACACGTCGCCTAAATACCAAAAAAACTAATTATCATCATAACATCACATCAAAGTTTAACAAATTTATATAAGAAGATGTGTAACCAATTTCCATCTTTGAAACACTATAAGAGGGCGTTGTAACGGTCGGTTGTTCTTCCCTCAAAGTGACACTAAAGGGCGAACTATTGAAGGCAGTTTTCCAGCCCGTATTATCAGCCTTCGTTTTTTCCGCTGCTGAAACTGCTGACACTTCGCCCGCAAGAAATCTTGAGCTGCTTTTTTCATGCGTTGTTTGAGAGGGATTTGCTGCATTAGCCGAAAATAAAGAGCGCTTTGATGGTTTTGATGATTCTGATTGCGGAATAGACGAAAGTGTCCTTGCCGATACTGACGACAACAATGATAAAGATGATGTCTCTGATGATGAGTACCAACGATTTTCCAAAGCTGGTAACCCTTTAGCCCTGACTTGAACCAGGTTTTCGGCCAGAGCAGCGCTCGGCTCTGATGCCGCTAATGTGACAGACTTAATAGTGATTCCTTCTCCTAGTTTAGCATCGGATTTTGTATCGGATTCCTTACTTTGGGTGAACACCACAAACTTGGCCAGCAGGAACCCGAGAATGACCAGTACGACTAGTAGCACAATGAAGCAGCATAGAATACGAAACAACTTCGGCATTCGGTTGTCGTCGGCCGCAAAGTAACTCATTCTGAAGCAAACAAAAACTAAGTCAAAGATAAATTATGAAGTTCAGAATGAACCGAATTGCCAAAATTTTTGACGCGTAAATAAGAGAAATGCGGAAATTCAAATTGAGTATGCTGCACCTCCAACTATGCAAATTTTTCTAAGTTATACAAAAGCTATTTCTCAGAGCAAAAAACATCATCACAGTTTATTGCCCTCTTTTTGCTTAATTGCGGGTTATGTTTGGGCATTCTAAGTGGTTATTAAATTTAACAAAAATGGGGGGAGTTTGCTTTCAATTGTTCATGATCTACAAGATCGTGAACAAACAGTGGACGATCGTTATGACCTTTGAGCGATGGATCTTCTGGGTGTGCTTCGTTTGGGCCTGTATCCATTGCACTCCTCCTCCGCCCCCGCCGCTGTGGCCACAACAGAGTATTGCTCCGTAGGGTGCCCATAGCCACTCTTAGAAGCCACGCCTCCTCCAGAACTCAGTCTGTCCATGCTAGTGATAACTAGATATAACCTAACTTAACTTTTAAAAAGGAAGCTCTAACCATAGAAGTGCCAAATAAAATTAAACTTAGACTTTCCTAACGCGACAGGATATTTTGTGAGCAGAACTCACCACCAAACAGGAAACCAAGGCTGCGAAATTCAACAAAAATTCGGAAGAAAAATAGTCGTAATGAACCTCTTGGTCAGTTTTGTACTCTAAATAAAAGCCCCTATTTTATTGAAAATCATTTATTTTAGTAAACAATAGCTTGATGAGGACTGTCGGGGTAATTGGCTATGGTTTTTACGTGTTTTACGGTTACATATGTTTTCAAAATACCTGACCCCCGATATTATTCGCCGAAATAAGAAAAAGTGACTAATATTTCACGAAACTGATAGAACTGACGGAATCGGAAACTAACTTTCCTGTATTTATAATGAAAACGGTCTGAACGTAGGAGTTTGAAATGAGTCATTCGTTTATATCTTGGTCGATAGTAGGTGTCTTTGTTTCGGACTTAAGCTTCATGATTGTTGAAAATTCAATTACTCGCTGAAGGTGGGATGTTTTGACTAAATTAAACAAAAAGGTGTAGGTATAGTTTTCTCTGAATGACGGAATCCTTCGTATCAAAAATACAAAATCCTAAATATCACTCAGCCTTTATTTTTCAATTAATTTTTTGAAGTAACGCGAATTGGAGGAGTGGAAATAATTGCAATTAAAAATAGAGTTAGATAAACCTAATTTCGTATCGTTTTTAGCCCCTGGGTCGATAGGAGTTATTTTTCTCGAGTAATCTTATTTTTTGCCGAGGTTAAGGGTCTCACTTCGTCTATTGCAATCATGTAAGCCTCTAGTTTTATTCACAATAACAGGCAAAAGCCAAAAAAATATGTATCATACGTCCCTGATTTGTTGAACATCAGCTTAACGAGAAACATCCATGGCTCTCGAGACTTTTATGAACATTTATATTCAGAATGTTTGAGTTTTTTTTTACAAGCAAAACTGCTCAACTCTGAAAAGTATTCTGCCCGATGTGAGTTTCAGATTCCAGGTTGCTAGCCTTATCTTTGAAACTTCGTATGAACTCATCGCCCCAATTAAGCCCCTATAATGTGTCTCGTCATTTTGTTTCTACGCTTTGTTTGAACAACAGATTTTGATTCGTTTGTATCTGGTGTGTTGAAATATTTTGTCAATTGTTCATTTTTCTCTCTTTCTTTTTACCCTTTATTTTCGTTTTTTATTAAAATATTGTTTTTAATTTAGTTGACCTCTCTTTGTTTATCTATTGAAGGTTTTGTCAAAACTTTTTTTTTTGAAGTTATCACGAATGTTTTGATCCGATCATGAATTGTATATTCGGGTATTTTAATTTTTCCTACTTTTTGTTTCCCGCGCAACCTCAGGTAGCATACGCATTTTCGGAAACGCTTTTGTGCGGGGGCGGATTTTTTAAAGTTTTTCAAAACATTTGTCGAACAAATTGATTTTCCGAGCTCTGCGAAAGCATTAAAAATACCCTGTCCTGGCCAAACTTTCTGCGCCGCAGGCAAATTTATGAAAAAAAAAACATGACAAAAAAGTTTGTTTTGAGGCACTTTTTGGAAAATTTTGACCAAAAAATTGCCTTTTTGGCGCGCGCTCCCCCTCAAAAATAATATATATTGGCGCCCTAGGCGCCTTTAGAAATTTTTCAGGGTCCATCACCCAAAATGGATATCTGAAAATAGTACAAATGGGGGACCTTTTGGGTCGGCAGGGGGTCGCAAACCCCCCACAATCCACCCCTGGTTTAGTAATATATCATATTAAAACCCTTGCAGGCAAGATTTGACCTCTATTAAAAATTTCTTAAAAATCTCCGCAGTGTAGAAAAACTTTTTCAAAATTTTTTTTTATTTTTGGTCTAAAGCTGAGCAAAGAAAGATGGCGAGCAGCATTATAATGAGCTAATAAAACGTAAAATTAAGTTCACTACATGAACATGGATTTTTGAAGCTTCTTTCCTTGCTTTCTTGACAACCAAAAAAAACTTCTACGAAAAGTTTGACAAAAAAATTACACATTGTTAGTCGAAAAAAAAATACGTTCTTTTTGCACCGTTTAAGGTGAACATTTCCCACAATATTGCTAGCATAATTAGAAGATATTTTATGATGATCCAGCTAAATCAGTTCGTTCAACCATGAAAGTGTCGGCCTATTTTTCGAACCTTTTTGTAATCTCGACACTCAGTACCTCTTTGCTTGAAAACTTTTTACATTACGAGGCCAAACTGTGCACTGGATAGGCGCACAATTTTGTGCTTGTATGTTCCTGGATTCCAGAGACAAATCTTTAAACATGTTTCAAAAAGTAAGTGGATTCTACTTACAAAAGTTTCGTCGATTCCGCTTACAAATACCTGTAACGTAAATTTGTCGGCACATTTATTTTGTTGCGGAATCCGCAATAAGTAAATACAGCTAGTTGTTCTGGGTTTCGCAACTGTAAATGGAATCCACAAAAAATAATAAGACATGTGAATAGTTACATTAAGCTGTTGCGAAGTCCGCAACTGTAACGGAATCCGCAAATTGTAAGTGGAAGCCGCAAACAAAATGCGGACTCCACTTATAATTTGCGGATTCCATTTACAATTTGCGGATTCCGTTACAGTTGCGGACTTGGCAACAGCTTAATGTAACTATTCACATGTCTTATTATTTGTTTGTGGATTCCACAAACTGTTCTGGATTCTGCAAATACGGAATCCACGAAACGTTTTTAAGCGGAATCCACTTACTTTTTGGAACATATTTAAAGAATTGTCTCTGGAATCCAGGAACTTACAGGCACAAAATTGTGCACCTATCCAGTGCACAGTTTGGCCTCGTAATGGACCTCCTCAAAATTTTTATCCTTGGGTGCGCAGAAAGCTAATTTCGATGCTGGAGTGCGCGCCGGAAAAACGCAATTTTTCGGTCAATCTTTCCAAAAAGTGCCTAAAAATCCATTTTTGGCGCAGCAAATGTTTGCAAATTAGATTTCTTATAATATTTTCGAAGAACTTGGAAAATCAAATTGATTGAACTAAAAAAAAATACCGTAAAATTTTCAACTTTTTTTGAAAAACCGCCTCCCCCCTAGAAAAATTTCTGCGCACGCCACTGCGTCTGACTAGCATAAATTACTTGTGCCTGCTCTTTTTCCAACTAAGAGACGATTTGTTGCACATTAAATTCTGGACTAATTAGAGACAAAAAACACATCTTTTTCATATTATTCTTGTGAAACCTCTCGTGACAATAGTTTTTAGTCTGCCTGATGGAAGGTCAATATTTTTTTGAGCATTGAAATAAATCATTTTCTGAGCAACCCTAAGGACTCTTGGCTGTACCGTTTTGACACTATCTTCTATTTTTGTGCATGAGCAACAATTTTACGGAGTTGTTTACGAGGACAACATGTGTTTGTGATTTCGTAAGGCGGCCGCAGGGTAATTTTTTTGATAATTGAACCGAGTTGATAAAAATTAGAAACACATAAATTGGCATGTGGGGGGAAACGGGAGAAGAGTCAGCCGATTTTTCCTTTCCCGTCCATCTCACATGAGCTTTTAATTTCTAGAGTAACAAATGGTTTTACAATGTTGGGCAAGAACACTAAATTTGGTTTTCATGACCCAGTTAATCGGCATGCTTATGTTTTATAGCAGTTAGATAAAATGAACGAAACGTTACAGGTAAAAATTCTGGGACAGAAGACGAGGAAAAAGAGCCATACCCTAAAGAAAAGCGAAAACTATAAAACGTGGCTCACATTTTAAAGATTTTTTTTGCACGTGATTTCTTTTATCCAAAGTACGATGATTTTAAAATAAATGCTTTGATTAGTTCATATAAACCGAAGAAAACCCAAAAAAACGACTGACTACGGCGATGTCAAACATCCTGATTGGCGAAAGACTAGCAGAGAAA